CCCCTGACGGGTGAGTGCTGCGCCGCGGCCCTCGTGGGCAGAGCTGCAGGCGCGGGGCGGGCCCGGGAGGCCGCTCGGTTGCGTTCCGGGAGGAAGGGCGCGGAGGAGCATCCCTGGCCTGCCTTGGGTCTGCCGAGCGAACCGCGGGGGCCTGGGAAGGGGCGGGCGCCCGCGGGGGGCTGGGAATCTGTTCTCATGGGGTCGCGAGTAGCTGAGGCACCGGCGTTTGCACACCTGCGTTGGGGGAAGGTTGTGTTCCCTTCAGCAGGTAGCTGCAGGTCGGTATTCTGGCGTCTCTTGTAGTCGCCGTCGTGGTTTTAACCCAGTAGGCCGCTAAATACCGCGGAACTGCTCGCGAACACGCCCTCCCTCCGGGGAGCGGAAGAAAATCGGAAACGCAAAGGTAGAAGCACGGGTAGGGTGAGATTAAAACAAAATTAAATAATTTTATTTGAAATAAAATAGTAGTAATAATAGAATATACGCACAAGTGATGATGCACACTGCAGCAGCTCACCACCCACTGCCTGACGCCGGAGGAGAGAAACAAACGAAGCTGCAATCCAGGAAGAGAGCACTTCCCGGCCAGCCCTCATCTGTGCGCTGGGCATGATGGTGCATGATAGGGAATATTGCATTGCCCAGTTTGCACCCCTTGCTCTGGCTGTGCTCCCTCTCAGCTTCTTGTGCACCTGCAACTAGCAAAACACAGGAATGGGAAAAGTCCTTGATTTCTTAGCAACAACAGAAAACAGTGCACTGTTGATGCTTTTCTCAAACCAAAACCCTATTATGTTATGTAGCTCAAACAAGGGCCATCCCATAGTAAATAAAAAAAAACCCAAACAAACCAGAGCTATTGCAGCTACTAAAAAGAAAATTAGCTTTATTCTAGATGAAACCAGGATGGATACTGATAATATCTATAAACCTAGGGATCTTATTTCCAGGTGGTATTAATGTTGTTCCTACTTCTTGGTGTTCAGTACCAGGGTAATTCTGTCAGTGCTGCGTTTTTGATGGTAAGGTGGTGGTCTTTGAGTATTTTTTAAAAACCTCTGTTCTTGCTGTTGCTGAGCAGATTTATTTGAACCTAAAATGGAGTGTGAACCCAAAACTACACAGAAAATGTAAATAATAAGAAGGGGGAGGCAGGGAACACAACATTATTTTCTGTGATGAAGTATCAGCAAGAGCCTCTCTGCACACTGTTCCGCAGCAATAACTATAAACATCAAGCGTTATTTGTCCTAGAAGCAGACACTGACTGAAAAACATGTTAATTTCAGAAGGTGCAGTTATTTGGAAGAGACTTAACTGGGAAGTATAATTACTAAATGAAAATTAGTTCTGTCCTGACTCAAACCCCAGGACGAGGACTAACCTCGTTAAGCGTGTCCTGTTAAATCTCTCACCGCAAGGGGAAGAACTTGTTAAATTGCAGAGAAGTTTATTTCAGGAAAGGAAGTCTAATTCTAACATTTTTTAGGCCTTTGAGAGGAAGATATGAGTAACTTATGCAGAGCCATAGTGTTGATAATTATCTCTCTCTGCTTTGAAGGCTCTGGGATTACACTAGGCAGAATTCAGTGGGTAAGCGTACTGCTGTATGTTATTTTATTTAAATTCTGCAGAGGTAGAACCTTGATTTGTTCTCTGTACCTTCAGCATAAAAGACAAGGTAGAATTTAGAAGAGTGTAATGATTTCCCTACGTATTCCAAGCTTCCCAGGTATTAGAGTATGAAGGATGACAGTGTGATACATTTTCTGAAGGGGCTGGACCCCAAAAATAGCAAGGAAGTAAACCCCCCCAAGCAAACAAAATACGACCACAACCCATGTGTTTATTGTGTGGGGATAAGTAGCTTTTTCCAGTTAGTGCTGTGTTGAGGTTGGATCATGGTGAAGAATTAAGGGTGCTGCTTGAATCAGTTATAATCTGTTTTTTAACTATTAAACTTCTACAGTATTTCTGACTAAGAGCCAGTGGATAGATTTGGCAGGAAATAAGCTTTTTTTCATTTATGTACTCAGTTATTTTAGAGTGTTTTGGGGTACATATGGGATCTGGAGACAGCAAAAGGCAAACTATTTCCTAAAGGCAAACTGCAGCTTCTAATCAAATTTGGTCTAGTGTTTGTCAATGAAGAAAAACCAAACATAAGTGCTTCCAGGCCTACCATTGCTGAAAAACAAGCTGAAAACTTTAAATACTGCTTGCCAGATTTTAATGCTGAGATACTATTTTTGCCTGAAGTTTTTTAGTATTTCTGGGTTACCCATAGTATTTATTCAGCACAATGCAAGCACAGCTATTAGTTTGAGAGTTGCAATTCAGCACCTCTGATACGTGCTGTGTCTGTCATGACTCTGAACTGATTATCATATATGTTTAGTCTTAACAGGGGTTTTACTGAAATGCACTGTATGAGTGGCCACTCAAATTTTGTATCTTGTGTGTGCATCATACCTCCAAGTGAACTCTATCCTCGTGGGCTGATTGCAACTGGTGGCAATGATCATAATATTTGCATTTTCACCATTGACAACCAAGCTCCTCTTTATGTCCTTAAAGGTCATAAGAACACAGGTATGTAGCAATTTTATTTTGGAGTTTGTTGTATAAAAGTTAACATGATTTGTTACGAAGGCAATTAGTTTTGTGATTATTTTTTTTTCCTTTGGTATTTAATGTAAAATAATTAATTATGACCTCTGCAAATAGGATTTTATAATCTCAGTTCATACTGTGACAGTTAATTGGAAGGACATCCAAATTGACATTGGTTGGTGCTTGAGCTTTTACTGTATGTGTGAACACTCAGCAGTTTACAAAATTATTACCCTTTTGCCAAGAGTTGCATTTTTAAGAAGAAGTTAATTCTTACTGTATTCAGCTTAATTTTTATGTCAATGTTGATAGAAGTAGAAAAAGTGAGCTTCCTAAATAAACAAACTTTCACTGCCCATTTTGTTACCCAGATGGTGATCTATTATTAATGGGTGCTTTAAATACATAGTGAAGACTAAAAGCTCATTGCAGAAATTTCGTCTCTCTTTAGTCAGGTCAGTGCAACATGTGACATACTAAACCAAACTTGTGTACCTTTTTTTCAGTTCTATAATAAAAAGAATATAATAATAAAAATTTCAGTAATTTCTAAGTTTTTCTGTTTGTAGCTGACATAGTATTTAGTAGGCCTTTGAACAGCCTAATAATGTGATTATAGGGTGTCAAAAGTAAACATTTCAAATCTTTAAGTTTTTGAGGCTTTTTAAATCTATGTTAAAGGATGCAAAGGCTAGTTTGAAAACACCCTGGACTGCTAAGCAGCACCTAAATTTATTGTTGAGTTGTAAACATCGGGACTTTCTGTGAGGAAAAAAAAAAATCAATGTCACAATGTAAGAAGACAGAAGAGCTAGTGTACTTTATCAGAAACCTGAGATGGATAAGTAGGTTTAATAACATGTGACATGCTCCACTCAGACTTGTGAAAAGGGGTTAGGTGTTCTAGGGAAGTTAGAGACTCCCTTTACAAAAAATGTTTTTAGTACTTTTTACAGTAATTTAAAACATTTAAACAGATTTTACAATTAATGCAATGTTACATTTTTTGAAGTGGGGAAAAAAGTAGGATGTGACAAGCAACAAAGATAGAAGACTCTGTTTCCCACTGTGGAGTCACAATTCCACATAATTCTTCCCCAAACTCCTCTCAACACTAAATATGCTACTAATGCCAATTAGATCTTCTTAATTAAATCTGTTTAAATTGCTGGCAATGCAGAAAATGTGTCAGTGCTGATTTGAATATTCATTCCAGTTTGCAGCCTTTCATCTGGAAAATTTGGCACATTGTTAAGTG